AAAAATGAAAAAAATAATCAATAACCCAAGTAATTATCGTCATTGATCGGAAATTGTTTAACTTTTCAAGGGGAACAAACCAATCCCCTATCAGTTAACAATAATTAATAAGTGCTAAGGTGTTTCCTCTTTTACTCAAATAAGAATTATGATGTTAAACGGATGAGTTTAAGCCAAGCAGATAGGTTTCAAGCGAGATGAATTTAAGTCAATGCACTATATAGAATTCTCAAAGGGAATAATATACTCAATTAATCCACTAGTAAATAAATTATGTATATGTATATTTGATATTGGAATTTAATTACCTCCTAGGAACAGTATTTCAATATTACTGTAATTTAAATAAAGTATATTAAATTAGTATGAATCTCAATTAATTTAGAAGTGTGAAATATAAAACTCAAATTGAACTGACGAATAGCAACTATTAAAAATGCTATTAAATTTGCCTGAACAAATGTATGATGCATTAAAAATTATACAGAGGAAAGGTAAATGCTTAAAACATTTTACACTAGAAGCAAAACGAAAAAATTATAATTAAAGTATTGTTTATTTAGGAAAAGGAGAATTGACTTTTCAAGGAGAAATAATTTTCCTTTAGCAGATGCTCGATAATTTGGGAATCGTGTTTTATCGCAACCTATCCTTGAATACAAACTAATAAATTACATTTGCTATGCACAGAAACAAACATGATAAAATTTAAATATGTACTCACAGATGACTGATTTCCCCGACGCGTCAGTGTCAACATATTTATAATAATAGTGCATAAAATCGGAATATATATATATATATATAATATATATATATAGATAATAAAATGAGAGGGAAAAATAGTTAAAACTGTAAAGATCATTTGAATAATCCTATTCTAGAGATTATAGATAGATAGATAGATTATTTTTTAAAGTATTTTATCAATTAAACAATAGAAAGTATAGAAAATTTTGCTAAATACCAAACCTTGAATTAAGGTAATTTTTTTTATATTCCTAAACTAAAATTAAATACTTTTAATAGTTGAATAAAGGGTTGATCACATTCTCCTCCACCCCCCGAAACTATGAAATTCCCTCTCCCTGATTAATAAAGAAACTCAATGCCAATGATTATAAGTTACGGAGTGCCTATGGTTCAAAACCATGTACCTCCACATCAGAAAAAATATCTAAGTAGTGAACAGAAATAGGAAAATTGCATAATTGGTTATCATGATGCACACTAGAGGGAGCTGCATTAGCTCAAGAAAGTTTAGGAATAGAAAAATCAAGTTTTGAGTTATTTTTTCTGCTTTATACGAAATATGTCTCATGTAAATATAATTTTCATTAGTGGCATCTATTACATTTAAAAAATTAAAGCCTGAGCTCTGTTACAGGTCCTGCCGGAATCTCTATTTTTACTTCCTTATACGAAGTAAGCGAAGTATTGTAATCACGAAAAATTCCGGGTACCATATTTCAACGAAAATATCCATTTTAACTGCTGTTGAATACAATTTAACGATGTTTTTGAGTAGCATCTGTACGTAAGGCAGAATGACTCTTTTTCCCAAATGAAATATATTGTTCTTATTTCTTAGAACAGCGTTATTGCTTTTAAAGAAAGTATTGTTAATAAAAAGTTTTCAAAGTTTATGGTTCAATCGGACACTTCAGTAATTTTATTAAACGAAAGAAAGGCGCCGCTCTATTGTAATGGTGATAAGTTAGAGCTGTTAGGTGTTATAGCTGTTAGGAATTCAGTTTAAAGCATTACTTTCCCTCACTAGATGGCGCAAGGAATTCCACAAAAATTTAACTTTCCCCCTCCTCCATATTTGCCATAGTTGTCAGTTACCATTCTACTTCGTTCCGGTAAACGCATGTAGAAAATGCAGAGTTAAGCCCATCTGTTTCTTTTTACAGCCACAAATAAAAAATATTCAGTGTGCTGTAGTTTTCAAAAAAATAGCATCTAAACATTTCTTTTTCTCTCAATGTTTTTATATCATCTGTACATAAAAAATATAAAGTTTCAGCAAAAATAAACTGCGTTTCGCCTAAAACAAAAAAATCTCTTTTTTAGCTAAGACATTACCACAAATTACTCAACAGTCCTGCAAACAAAAAGAGGTAATGAAGTTTTTTCTTACAGCTTAACAAAAATTATAACAGAGCCTGCATTTGTCACTGGATTCTAACACTGTTTATCAACAGCAGTTGATTGATTACTATAACTTTGGTCCGGAAATTCGAGCTGTTTGTAAGTATAGTGTTTTTGCAGCATATAGCACCGAGAGTCCTTCTTCGACCACGGAAGGAAAGAGAGGCCTTTTTTATACCAGGGCTGACGCAATGTTACCAAGTTTGGATAGTCTAAGGTAGTGTTTTCCAGCGTGGGGGCCATTCGATTGTTAAGGGGAGAAATTCGAAAAGGGGCTCCTTCAGAGTCTAAGAAGACAAGGAGCGTTAGAATTTCCAGTTGTAGACATGGACATTTAAGTGCTTTTAAAGGGCATTTAAATAGCTGACACGCTTTCCAGACGTTTCTCGCACATGTCAGCCAACGAATTCATTTTATGTTTTACTATAGGAACGGCAATAAGTATATTATTCTTCTCTTGAATGTCAACAGCAGCTGCTTTCAGCTTTGTTTATATTTATCGATATGACAAAGTTTTTAATTGATCTGATATTTATTTCTTTAAGCCCTTAGTGAAATGAGTCGTGCAAGCACAAAAAAATGCTCATCAGTACTTGGAGGAATATTAAAATTTGGGTTCATTCCGATGAACGGTCACCTTTTTGTCTTTTATGCCAACAATGCCTGACCAACGAATCAATGAAATGAAGGCGCCTTGAGGTACATCTGAAGGCGAAACATAATGCTCATATTAATTCAGATTTGAATTATCTTCAAACCTTAAAAACAAATTTTGAAATATGAGTAACATTAAAGTCTCTACTTCTAATAAAGCAACTGTTAATCGTACTTATGTTAATCGTACAACTGGTTAAGGCTAGTTATTATATTTCATTATTCATCACTACATCTCGGAAAAGTCATACTATCAGGATATAATATAATCAAACCGTCCATATCAGCATTTCTTAAAACGGTTCTAGAAAATGACGACAAAGACGTTAAAGCTATGCCAGTAAGTAACAATACGTAACAGTAACAATTTTTGAAAAAAGAAAAATTTTGGTGCAGATGGGCTGAATCAACTTTGAGAGACTGTGCGGCCGTCCTTATAACTTATGTAAGATATATTGAGAAAGGTGATTTTGTCTAAGAAATGTTCTTCTGTAAATCATTAGAAAGCACCACTACCTACAAAGATATTTATAGTAAGCTAAAAATGACTTAGATGTCAAAAATATACCAATGGAAAATTGTGCTGTAAATGGTGCTCCTACTATGATGCGGAAGAAAAAGGGTTGCGTAAAATTGATGAAAGATGAGAATCCAGAAATGCTTCTTGTGAATTATGTTATTCATAGGGAAAACTTGATAGCTAAAAACATTCCGCCTCTTCTTAATGTAGTACTAAATTTTATAAAGTGTATCAATGCTATTAAAGCTAGTGCCAAATGTGAACGTCTCTTCAAGTTATTTTGTGAAGAACAAAATGAAGACTACATAGGACTTAAGCCTGAAGTAAGACGGCTGTCGAAAGGGAACTGCTTAAAAAGATTTATGGTACTATCTGATACTCTTAGTTATTTTTTACGCCCCAAACCTGAAATGAAAAATCTGTTAACGGTTGATGATAAGGCATTTGTGAGTTATTTAGCCGATATCTTTGAAAAGCTAAATAAATCAAATAAACAACTTCAAGTAGCAAACAAAACTCTTGACGGCGCAAAAGTGAAGATATTTGGTTGTATTACCTTTATTGAATTATGTCAGGAGTATATTTATAACAAAAATTTTGAAAAGTTTCATTGCCTCCTCAAATATGGAGGGACTGATACCGCTGGAATAAATAAACTAGAGGGAAGAAAATAAGAGGGCGGAAAAACAACAAAAGAAAGAAAAACAGCATCTAAATTTGCTGCTCAACCGGAAATAGTGGTTAGAGACATTAACTGCCTTACCGAAGACTCCGGAGTCGAATGTCGGAGAAGATATGGATGTTTTTACATGTATAGTGTGTGCATGCAGCATGGAGACATTGAAAATATGCAAAGAGCCGAAAATCCTCTGGAGAGACTGACGATCCCCTAAAAGCTGGCAGACATTTTTTTCCCAATGGCCGAGCGCTTTATTTAATAGCCATTAGCCTTGCGCCACTGCAAGGGCTGGAAGTGGTGGCTATTTCATTATGGAAGCACCTTATAAGTGGCCACCATTGCCTCCTATATAAAGGGACGGAAGTTATAGCCATGGCTTCTCAGGGATTCGAACCCGGGCATATCGCTACGGCAGTCAGGATCGCTAATCATTTTGGTATTTTAGAAAATATATATATCTAGATCTATATCATCGAATATCAATACATGATTCATTTTTAACAGCCTATTACAATTCAGTAACTAATTATTTTATTAATATGCATTTTGAAATAAAGATGATATATATATATATATATATATATATATATTACGTATATATTTCCAAAAATATTCAGAATTCAAAATTGAAAGATATTTCTTTCTAGTCAAGAAAATATTCTGAAAATCACTCCTGGTCATTTGTAAAGCATTACAATTTGCAAAACAGTCTAAAACCCTAATATACTTATTAGCGGATTGGACTTTAGTACATGAACTTGGTGACTCGAACAAATGAGTGTAACATTATTTCAGAAAATATATTTTAAAGAATTAATATTAATTATATTCTAGAGAGTAGTATTATTTCAACAACATATTTTAAGAGCCTTAATATTAATGTTATTTCGAATGACACAAACTACATATTTTATAAATTTTTGAAGCTCCTAAATTCTTGAAACTTCTTAAAGAATTCTATAAATTATTTCTAATTTTAAAAAAGAAACTTACTCAGAATTAATTTGCAATAATAGTACATTAACAATTAACTTTAATTTCCTGGATGTGTACCAGAAATGCATGAAAATACACTCTCTTACTCTGTGCCAAAAATGTGAGTTTTTATCAAAGCTTGGGAGTTGATTATCAGCAAGTCGATGACGTCTCCTTTCAATTGATGTTTATCCAAAGAATACAACTGTTATCACGATGTACCAGTATTCAAAAGGTGCGCAATCTCCAGATTAAAAGAGAACATATTCTTCAAAACTAAAGACATTTTATCGTCTGATTAACATCATCAGCTTTATACTTACCTGGAGTATGAATGCACTGCTTCAATTGCAGAGATTAAATATCGTTAAATGTTGCCCCACAGTTGCACACAGGTAGAAATAAATTATTACTATCAATAATACAATTAATTTTGAAAATGGCAGGAAAAGCTGTTGACACATCCTAGTTTATCAGCAAGACTATGAAATCGATATCTGTGTATTGATAACACGTAAAAGTCTGGTTGATTAGTAATACTTGAACAGATTTAACAGCAAACGACTTTAATAGGGAAACATTTAATGTATATTGATTTTCCAGCGATAGAATTGAACACATATTATTAAAAATATTACGAATATTCTACATAGCTTAAATGAAAACAAAAGATGTCAAAGACATCTTTAGAAATAAGCTTCAGTTGTGTATATTATTAAAAATGCTAAGAATAGCCTATGTAGCTAAAATTAAGACTCGAAATGACAAAGACTTTGGAAATCACTTTCAGTTATGACTATTTTATCAGTTTTAGTTTTTTCATCCCAAATTCGTTTATCTGCGATATTTCTTCTAGTCAGCAGGTTACAATAATATTGACATTATTGGTTTCAAAATTTGTATAAAAAGTTCAAAAATTATATTCTTCATTTCGCATTATATTACTAAGCTGTAAGCCTCTCTACAAAATTCTGTAGAGAAGGAAACAAGTGATAAATATCGATTATTTTGGGAATGAAAGAAAATATTATTTTGGGAATGAAAGAAAAGGAAATCTTCATAAAATTATTGGGAATCTTTTATAAATTAAAATTTTATTAATTAATTATTTTGGGAATGAAAGAAAAGGAAATCTTCATAAAATTATTGGGAATCTTTTATAAATTAAAATTTTATTTAATTCATTTTGGGAATGTCAAACTTCATAAATATTGGGCTCTTTTATAATTCAAATTTTATGTCCATCTATGGGAGTTCCAAACTCAAATAGCCTTGGGCCTCATACACGATGAAAAAATAGATGACAGGTCAGAAATTTTTAACAAAATTTTAAAAAAATATATTTACAAAATAAAAAATCTTTGAAATAAATTTTTAATTTCGCTAAGTAGTTTTCAAAACATAATACATGAATCACAAATATAAAGTAGCAAAGTCAAACTATATTTATTTTCTATCTGAAACGTAAAGTTCGGTAACTGCAACATATTTTTGTGATTTTAATTTGTAATTAAAATGTATTTACACTTAAAAATTAAATTTTCAGGTTAAAGGTTATTTAAATAGTTTTAACATGCTAATTAATCCTTACTTAACTTAATCTAATTTATTAAACTTAAAGAAGTTATGAAAACTGTTTTTTTAACTTCACAGTGAAATTCCATTTAGGAAAAACTTGAGAATATAATGATAATTTAGTTTTTTCTCTTTATTATTATTTTTCGACGAATAAATAAAATAAAAATGCATTCATTTATATATAAGTAGTTATACCATTTGGGTACTTTTTCGTTTTGTCGTAGCAGGCGATAAAGTCAGCAATAATGGTACAACCGATACCAAACGGAATATCGTCGCCGGTAACCTTTTACTCCTCATTTTCAAAACAAGCCGCAGCCATTTCTTATCAGATTGTTCGGTAATACTGGCATATAATTATATAGAATTTTTACCAGAAAGTTCAATTTTATGCCCTAAGGCCATTCGTGGGCGATAATTAAGTCAATTAGAATGCAATCACAACTCTCACCTGATAATAAAATATAGAAAAGGGAAAGTCAATGGTTAAATTCATCAATTTCAATGAGAATGTACTAGCGAAGTAAAGTACTGCGGTTTTACATAATTTCTGAGTAAGCTATTTGTACGAATTGAAATAATTCTTGCATTTAAATCTGTATTCCAAATTAAGATTTAACTTGAAATTAATGTAGATAATTACTGAGTGAATTAGATTTTTGTAACGTAGTTTATGTGAGATGAGATCACTTGGGGGACACGTGAACCGGCGAATCAGGATGTTGAACCATGAAAGCATAGTAAATTCTTAAATTAACGTCTCTTTTACAAATTTATTTTAACAAGATTTGTATCGCATTATAAATTACACAGCAACATTAACAGATTTTCTGATGTAAACATATGCACGTGGAAGACCGAATTTTGAATTTCGAATATTTATTCCTGTTAGTTTTTAATGGTAATTCATATAATATAAACTTCGGTTTCAAATAATTAAAATTTTGAAATCTTTGTAATGCTATATTTGCAAGATGTTAATAATTGAAACGTTTTCACGGGCCGCAAACATTGTTTCGAGGCCGCGTGCTGGCCACGGGTCGCCAGTTTAAGACCATTGATCTATTTAATTATTATGTTTAATTAAATTATTTAAGGCTTTGCCATAAGTATAAAAATATTTAAATACAGTTGTTTTGCAAAAGTTTGATTGAGACAGCATACATAAATTTATTCAAGGAATAACACAAATCTAACATACTGAATTATTAGTAGCCCAAAAGGTCGTTAGTCCCGAATGGTCTTAGTCTCGAAACATGACTTTGCGTTGTCGACTGTAAACGGCGAATTACCTTTCGAATTGTTGCCACCAAATGCTGTCGATCTATATTTTCTTTAAAGAAACTAAATAATGAAAAACCTGCATGTATGTATGTATATTTCTCCCATTGTGAAAAACACAACGTTACCTAGAGCCATTAAATTTTGAATAAAATTGTCCTCCACCAGAACATGTGCATGTGGAAGACCGAATTTTGACTTTCGAATATTTATTCCATATTTTGTAAACCTTTAATAAATTTCTGATTAACAAATTCAACGACTTGAAAGCGAGCAGTGGCAACAACACTGTACAGAATAAACTACTTTTATTCCAGCGCGCAAGGTCTATAGGAAATTCTAAAGATATGCTGCGTTTAAATATTTTGTGATTTTGCTGTTAAATTGAAGTTTATGTCACGTAAATGTGAAGAACGTGATATCTATAAGCATAAGGAGAAGTTAACACACAAAACATTAATAATAAAAAGACACAAGAAACATTTTTGTAAGCCATCTTGCTAAGAAAACTGAACATTGATACGATAAATCGAGGAAAGACTGAAAAAAATAGAAAAACATATGGCAACATTTAACATTGCATCTAATACTGCTTTTAAAATTTTTATAAATTTCATGGTTGAAAACTAAATGGAGTACGTGCGAAGAAAATAGTGCTTAATATCAAAGCAAGCAGAAGTGAGTGCAACAGAAGACTGGTAGACTGCGATCTCAGCGAGAGCGTAAAAATCCGTAACAAATCCCATTGGGCAATCATTAAAATCTGAACTCTTTCAGAATTTTTTAAACACTTTTTATTTCTCTTTAAAATTCCATATTATTATCTACAGTTCTTGAATTTTAATATTAATCGAGTGCAGTAAAAAATGTTCTAGGATTAGCAGTTATATTCAAGAGTTTTACAACTACAGTAGAACTCCAATTATCTTATCCGAACCGCTGATTATCCGAATCGCTTTCAAAATTTCAGAATTTTTTAGAATCAACTAAAGGAAAGAAGCATAAGGAGAAAAAGAAGAAAAAGGACATAGAAGCTCAAAGAAAAGGAAAGGGACGAGAGAGAGGAGAAGATGAGAATGACGTGTCACTTGAGGAATTAAGAAGCATTCTTTTGCAAATTCCTCGATGTTCAGAAGTTAATGCTGAGGATACAGCAGAATGGATGGGGTGTGATTCGCCAGACCGTAGGTTTCAAATTCTAAGTGATGAACTTATCGAAAGAGTGAGAGAAGAAAGTGTCGAGGAAGAACGCGACTTTAATGTCGAAGTTGAAGCAGACATGGGACCATCAGCTATTGAAGCGCTTGCCGGTCTTGAAACTGCACTGAACTGGATGGAGCGTCAGCCCGAGTGTGACCACATGCAACTTCTCATTGTCAAGCGGACACGCGACTTGGCTGCCCGAAAATGGATTAAGCCAGACGAACAGGTTACTGTGACCGAGATTTCAGCAAGCAATGACTCTCAACACATGTAAGTACTGTGCAGTACATACCATGTATGTAAAAGTGTTTGTTGTCTTTTCATTTTAATTAAAACCTCTTTTTCTTTAAAAATAGTTTTTTCCTTCCATTTTCAACATACAGTACATACAGTAATTAAATAAAGTGTACGTAGACTCTCACTTAGGAAAAAATCCAATTATCCGATTTTTTATTATCCGAACTGGGTCCGGTCCTAATTGATTCGGATAACTGGAATTTTACTGTATTCATCAACGGCTAAAATTCGGTTCAATCTGTTAATGTCTTTCTCTTTTTGTGTATTACTCATAAGAATTTTAATTTTTAATCGTCCTCTCATTCACAATCCATTGTGAATCAGAGCACGAAATTATTAAACTTACTTATTTGATTTCGTGTAACTGCAAGGAATATGTTTATTTTTATTAAATATGGAAATATTTTTATTTATAATGCCACCCAACACATTAATTACTTTACTGTCGTACAGAAATGTAGTCTGCAAACAATCACAATGCTTTTTTATTGGATGAAAGTAAATATTTCATTAAAGAATTTAAGTATCTAATATACTGCTGCATCTCTGAGATGTTCCAGCTGAATGTCGAAAACAGTAAAACGAGTTTTTATTTCTTAATCTTAATTGTTCTGCCATTATGTAGCTAACAGTTTGGACACAATTGCAGTTTTGGTACTATGACTCAGTAAATAAATTATGATGCCAGGGAAAAAATGATTCATTGATGGGAAATACTAAAGATATACAAAAAGAAAAAAATGGTGGTGTGTCTTTGCTAATAGTACTAAATTTTTGTCAAAATTTCGCTTTTAATTCCTATTCCATTTATA